TTAATTATCTACCAGGCTGTCGTAAAAATACAAAAAAATATAAAACATTCATTAAATGTAACTAAAATATATATAAAATAAGGGGCGATTAAGTTAAGTATTATGTCTATTTCTGCAGTAAACTGTTCTCCTTAGAGATTCCTAATAAAAATGTTTTCCTGTACACAGCAAAAAGGAGAGAGATGGAAAGATGGCGATAATCTTCCGATCCATTTTTATCTTGATCGCAATATCTGAAAGTGAAATCAGAGAAATAATAAACGACTGTTGATTGGGAGAAATGCAAATGAACGAGGAAAACTATTAGGTGGGAATAGTCCACGGTAATCTTAGTGTTGACTGACAGCTTGGATTATGGTCGTGGAAATCTCATTGTGGAGATTGATCTGTTTGGGAAAATGGTAACATCCTTTTTGCCATGGGAATAAAATACTTAAGATTTATAAAAATATTATAAATCTTTGTATAATGAGTGGCCTTATATGAAAGTTGGACATCTGTTTCAAGGAAATTAAAAGAAATTTTCATACATAATGTGAACTTTTATATATTTTATTAAGTATGAAAAAAATATTTAAAATCCACAAAATCAAGGCAATTAAATTGTTTAAAATGCTATTTCATAGTCATTGTCATAGTCAAAATATTTTATGGATGTATGAAGCATACATTTATAACCTTAGAAACATTTACTGTAGCTTATTTAATAATTCCAAATCTGATGTTATATTTACATAATTAGATATATATATATATATATATATATCGTCTGTTTATTCCGAAAATTTATCATGTAACCTTTCATTTCCCTTTGTGAAATCCCAACATTATCCAGTAACAATTAGCGTGATAACTTTTGAACTATCTATGACAGGCTATGAAAATCTCGTAATTTCATTTTAATAAACTTTACAATGAAAAATAAGTTTAATAACCAATATTCTTACAATCCATAATCATTTATAGATTAAATATACAAATTTACTTTCAAATCTCTCTAGGCATATATAAGCCTTTTTGTTGACGGAATGACTAACTCCAATTTCAACACTTTTATTATTAATTTTAGTGATATTTCTAATGAGAAAAAATTATAGATTTGTTCACAGTTCTATATTTCAACACTGCAATCATCTACTCTGGAATCAACTTACCCACTGTCTGTACAGTTATAAACTTTTTAGCTAGAAATATCACCAAAATGATATTACTCAAAAATGTTGAAATCGTCACACAGTTTTAATGCAATTTGAAAGTAATTTAAGTTAAAAAAATGCTTTATTTCTCATTTTCTATAGAATATTTAGAAATCCAGTACAAATATGGTTACAAAAAAAAAAAAAAAAAAAACGAAAAAACAAAACAAACAAACATGAAATTAACATGATTTTCAGTGAAATTATTACATTTTAACGGAATGTCAGAATCACCAATTTTCGCAAACAATACTATGTACGTACCTAATCTAATTTTCATAACAATATATAAGTTCATAAAATTAAAAGTTATCAATTACTTTAAAATACAGCAAATAAAAACTTTTAAGTTACAGTAGATCGTTCACAATTGGGTTGTTCTACGATATCTAAATATTGCAAAAAATAATAATCCTTCAGGTCAAGGCAAGAATTTGTGTTTGTTTCTTTTTTTAAGGTGAACATCAACGTTAACATAAATGGTCGAAATTCACTACGGTAAAAAAAAAAAAAAAAAATGTCCCACCTATATATAATAGATATCACCAAGAAGATTTTATTTCTCTAAAATGTTTTTTTCTTTAAGTCCTGTTTTATTTAATTATATGGCTACGGTTTTTTTTTAATGAACGTTTGGCTTAAGTCTTCTAGTCTGCATGCATAAGTCAACATGTACGATTTTTATTTATTTTTTTTTATTGTTTTTAATTGTATACCTCCCCTAATTAAAGAGGGTATGATCTAACTTATCGTGGGAACCACTCGTACTGGGAGTAGAGGACAGAGATCCAACCGCATGATCTTCACTTTACTATTACAGCTCTCAAACCACTCAGCTATACCGATCCCCATACTTTATGTACAGGTGTCTAAATTATAAAGGTTTCAGTAAAATTATAAATGAATTTTCCAAAACGCCAGAATCACACATGTCAAATTGTTAGACAGATTTGAAGGTTTTTGCTTCTTAAATATTTCCCTCCTGAAAATTGTGTACCATTTGGACAACAAAGAGTTAGTTGTTAGTCTCAATTCGACAAAATTAAAAATAATTTATAGTTTGACCTTTATCCTCCTTTTTCTCATAGGCACATTAAAAAAAAAAAAAATTGTGATTTGTAAAATTAATCTATGAGCAAGATTTGGTGAGGAAGTAATTAATGGTTTTAAAATAAATAAATAGAAAATAACTTTATTCTGGGACGAAGTCCCTTTATTATAACATAATTAAAAGACTACATCTGGCCAAAATAAAACAATGATAAAAAAAAAAGAAAGTAAAGAAAATATTAGTTAAAAAAGCTATATACAAAAAAAAATCTATATACAAAACACTTAAACTATGATAAAACACTTAAAACTATATACAGTAGGAAAAATTATAATTATACTCTTTTGAAAAATAAAATAATAAAAATTACATTGAGGTCTTCTTTAAAATGAGATGTGTTTCTGTTAACAAAGGGAAGACAAAGCTGACAAATAAAATGTCAGTGTATTTAAATAATGAGTAATATGTAGACTCATGATTGTCTAATTCTAACTATAGGTTCAGATTTAATTACATAAGAATAAAAAACAAAACAAAAAAACAATAGATGCATTCAATGGCATTAAGAGCAGGTAGATATTGTCGTATCCCTAGTGAAGTTTACAGTATAGAATAGTACTATCGTTTGATGATGAATTATATAATAGAAATGTATAATATCAAAAGTTTACCAAGCATCTGACTGTTTTTGGAATAGGAATTGGAATAGGAGGGTTTTGAATGTGGGAGCTTTAAGGTTAATAAAACATCATATCATCGTTTCTGTAATTTTTTTTTTGTTATTATATAATATGTCCCTTTACCATGCCCAATAGTTCGTTTATCATGCCCAATAGTTTCTTTATCATGCCAGTAGTTAACGAAGAAAAAAAATAAATAAAAAACAAATGATTCATAACGAGAATTCTTACGAATTGAGGAGTAAGCAGCAAAACACAATAAACCAAGGAGTTATGAAACGGATGAAAAGCCTGTAATTGGGCGGCCGGCTCTCACGTTCTTGATTCACGTGCCTCTGCAATTAGAAGAATCGTGTAGCTAAGAAACTCTTCAAAATCTACTCAGGTAATCTTCATTGAAATAATTTGAACTACTGAGTATCAAGTGGAACTTAATACTAGTGTCAGGCAGCCTCTCTACAACACGAAATCTCGAACTCAAAAAAAGAATTATTAAAAAAAACTAAAAATAAACGACCAATAATTATTTTTATTAATTCCGATTAATTATTATGAATATGTAATTATAAATGCCTTTATTATATTAGATACTGATGTATAATATTTAGTATATAAAGTGACTAGCTAAATTACTGAAAATAATTCAAGAAATCATAGGATTTCACTTTTCTAGAAATATTAACTAATAATAAGATATTAATTTAAAAGGCAATATGTCCTCTATGTCTTGTGGCATGATAATTTGAAATTACACAATTACGGTTATTTTTAAAATATAATATCCCATTCCTTATAATTAATACTTTGTGAAAAAATATTCTCCTCTGGAATTCCTATATTTTTAAATGCCCAAACATTGTATCCAAATTCAGCATTAATTACCAACAGAACATCGTTACCTATTAAAGGTAAAAGTTCTATATTACAAATAGGGATTTCCAAAAGCAAAAATAAAAATATAAAACATTAAGTTTGCCAATTGCTAAAATTATTTTCATAAAAACGGTAATGGATTAGTAACAATCCACTTTAATTGTTTCTTAATGATAGCTTAATACGACGACCATTTTAGATGATAAATTTCTAATTATGCAGTATTAAAGAGAAGTTGGTTTAGATGTTTAGTTAAACAAAGAAAAAAGCAAAAATAAATAAATTATATTTACTTTTTTATTTGTTTGACTGACACCCCAGTCAACTTCTTATTGAAGGTAAGTAATATATTGAAGTATTAAGAGAGTCAATTATTAATTCACTATCATAAAAAGGCAGTATTTTTCTAAAAATAATTTGCTATTAATAAAATGAATATTTATATAATTAATATATTATATAATACAAAAATAAGTTATTAAAGCATCGTAATAATTTATAGTATTTAGCTGAAAACACGAAGATGACTGAACATCAAATCACATGATACTTTTAACATTTGATGTATCTCAAATATAATCTCAACATATTAGGGATCAAACCTAAACTAAATTAATATTGACTTAAAGCTTATTTAGCGAGCAAGTTTCTGCAAAAGTAGGGATTGTGTAGTCCACATGGGACTGATAGAAAGAAACTAAATTAAATTAAAGAAACTAAATTAATTCAGGACTTAAAGTAGTTCAGCCACATAAAAGCCATCTTCAAATGGTATTAATAAACAAAAATTCTACTCCCGATTGAAAGAAAATTTGTCTAGTTTACTATAAATCAATTTTTAATTAACAATATCTTTTAAGTTATTGCTTTCTATTTGTAGTGACGAAAAAAACGTGACTTACTTCTAAAAAACACAAAGGGAATTCCTACTTTTCTATGGAAAATCAGATAATATTTTATAACTAGTCCAGTCATAAATATTGTTACAAGGAAAAATATACAGATTTCCACAGAAAAATTATTTTTTTTTTTTTTAAGAGCTTTATTAGAAAATAAAATGTATATCTATATAAGAGTAAAACAAAAAAGAAATTACTCAAAAGGTCCCTCTTTTATCCTGACAGCCATTTAATCTCCGTGGCCAGTCATCAATAGCAGCGCTCAACTGCTCGGACCAGAGATTGTTTGATGCTTTCCAAGTTAGGGTATGCTCTGTGGCATTCCATCCGTCCTCTCCAGTTCGGACCAATGCCGATAATCTAGTGGGTTGAGCTTCCTGAGGACCAATCCGAGGCAGAGATGAACTCTGGAATGTTCTTTTGCAGCCACTGCAGAGCTGACCTGGCCTTGTGAGCTGGAGCGGAATCCTGCTGGAAAACTCAATGACTTCCAGCAAACAGAGTATCATTTAGAGGCTTGACAATAGGTTCAAAAAATCGTCCTGATAGGTTTTAGCGGAAGTTTTAACTCCTTTTCCACAAAACTGGAGCTTTGTGGTGCCATCTAAGCAAACTCACTAAACCATCTCTGAGGAAGGGTGATGACCTCTTTCCACTCTGCCAAGGATTTTCCGGGCTTCTTTAGAAATGTGTACAAATTGATTAAATTTTTCTTCGATTGTAAAACTTTTCTCATCACATAACAAAATGTTTCGATGAATACCATTGGTGTAACGGCCAAAGAGCACTTTGCCTCTATCCACTCCAATTTTTTTTAGGGAAGTGGTTATCGTTTGCCCTGCCATTCTTCGAAATGCACCCATCCTAAGGTCCGTTTTTACTATGCTAGACATTGATATGAAAGAGACTTCCATTTCCCGAGACAGGATTTGTTATTTTCGAATGGAATTTCTTTTGATTCTAGTAGCCACTAATCTCCCTGTATGTCACATACGGCTGATACAAAATGGTAGCAAAGTGTTACTAATTAGAATTATTAACCTGACAGGTAAAGAAAATAACCTGGTAGAGGCAAGGATTGCCTAAATAATACCCAAGGATGTAAACAAAGTTCAACTTTTGTAATAGTATTTATGGCAGAACTAGAACATTTTTGTAGTTTAAGCGTTCTCCTCTTTAAATATTTCCCTTTATTTACGTGATACGCTGTATATGTATACAGCGTAAATATACAGATGCCTTTGTAAATTTGATGGCGTTTTGATACATTTAGTTTTTATATATCAAGCAGCTTCTATATTAATACCTTAGGCTTTGATATAAAAAAAAATGGTATAAAAAATGGGACAGATAGACTGAATTTAAGAATAGATTACCGGGAGATTACGAAAACAAGGCTTTAAGGAAAGAAAAATGAAATATCTTATCGATGCAAACAAAATCAGCACGTCAACATTTATAAAAATATCAACCCGAAAGATTATATGTGTTTCGAATTCATGTGCTGGCCTTAATCTGTATCATCAATGATGTGCTCAGTACGCTGTCAATGGCAAGCATTTATGTGATATTCTTTTTCTATCCCTACTTGCGCAAATCGAAAAAAACCTTGACTGGTAAGTTATTCAACGCCATTCTGAACACCTTTTTTCTTCCTAATATAGGATCTAAATAAATATCGAATTTCTCTACTGTTAATTTAAATATGGAAACTATGCCATATGGTCGCAGATCCATCTTCAATTATTAGTGTCATTAGCGTTGAATGCTAATATGGCTTACAACTTCGGTAGGCGATTGGTCCTCACAAACGCCAACGATTTAATGCAAATTGCATGTGATTAACCAGGCATTGTTTGCACGTGTAGGTGCCTGTTGAAGGAGAGAGAATATGCAAGAGGGCAGGATGTGCTAACAATATCCCTACTCAAGGTGATGTTCTGAAACAAAAAAAAGTATTTTCTTTGTACTTCTTAGCTGTACTCTCATGTAAATTAAAAAAAAAAAAAAGTCTTTTTTGATATCCATGTATTTAATCAAAAATTAGACTTCTAATTTTCGAAAAACGTACGATATAATTAAGAAAAAAAATAATAAACCTCTTTCTGTTATACACAAATTAAACTCTACTAAGCGTTTTCTTTCAACATTATTTATTTCATAGCTGGAGAAGTGTGAGCTGGTTGCGGCGTCTAAGTGATATTTATTTATTCATAATTGGTAATTGGTTGACTGTCGTGGATAATGAAGAGAAAAATAGTTGGAGTGTTCAGTCAAAAAGGAAGGCAAAAATAAATTATAATATTTATTTTTTACATATGCCGACGTTTCGACCTTGAAGTTCAGGCCTTTCTCCTTAAGTGTCGAAGGGGGAATGATTCTCCCTTCAACACTTAAGGAGAAAGCCCTGATGAAGGCCTGAACTTCAGGTCGAAACATAGGCACATGTAAAAAATAAATATTATAATTTATTTTTGCCTTCCTTTTTGACTGAACACCCCAACTATTCTTCTCTTCATTATTTATTCATAATTGGTAATTGGTTGACTTTCGTGGATAATGTAGAGAAGAATAGTTGGGGTGGTCAGTCAAAAAGGAAGGCAAAAATAAATGATAATATTCATTTTTTACATATGCCGACGTTTCGACCTGAAGTTCAGGCCTTCATCAGGGCTGTCTCCTTAAGTGTTGCAGAGAGAATGGGGGAGAATTCGATATTTATTTATCTATCGCTAATATTTAATTATTTAACGTGAAGAATTTTTCAAGATATACAACTTGAAGAAGCTTCATCTAAAGTTTCTTTAATTTTTTAACTGGAATTTCCTGTTTTCGAATCTTTCAAAATCACACTTTTCAAGACAATTTATCTAATTTACAGGATAGACATATAATAAGTCTTCGTGTTTATTGTTAAAAGAATTTTTTTCGAAAGTGGGCGGATTGAGTTCTGGTAAAATATTCCACAAGTATAATTCAGATTACAATACAATACAATCTTAATTTTTCAGTTGACATAAATTATGATTGAAAAAATATCTTTACGTACCTGCAATAAATACGTATTACACACAGTACTAGATTAAAGTATTTTATGGACAAATGATTTAACTTCCGGTATTGGAGAAACAGGAAGGTTTATTAAGTACGTTTTTTAAACAATTCCTTGAAATAGGCAACGTTAACAAGAAAACATTATGATGATAGTATAATTGACAAGTTTCCCTACATACTTCTAGTAAAATGTCATCCTCCTTCACATTCTTTGATACAATTAACTTACAGACCCATCAAGATTTAACTTCCAGTATTCGAGAAATAAGTACGTTTACAAGAAAAGAATTATTGGAATAATGATAAATAACAATTAAGTATATACATATATAACTACTTCATGAAAAAAACTATATCCAAATTCTACAGTCCTCATTACTGACTAGGAGATATGTACTATGAATTAAAAAAAAGAATTCTCAGTTTTGATAAACAATTCGAATTAGGAAAACTAATTTAAAAATCAAGTTACCGTTAACTGAAACCGAGAACTTATGTATATTTACATAGATATAAATTAATCCTAATAAATAATATTGAATGTTCATTAATAATATAATGTTAAAATACAAAGGTTATTTTAAAGCATTGAATAACTGCATCAATTTTTCAAGTTCGGAAGAAGGTTCAGATTATTTGAACAGCTTTAGTTTAGTTTGACTTTTCATCAAATATTTTTATTTAACTACTATAAACTTTCAATTTATGTTGTGTATGTATATATATATATATATATATATATATATATATATATATATATATATATATATATATATAGAGAGAGAGAGAGAGAGAGAGAGAGAGAGAGAGAGAGAGAGAGTGAGAGAGAGTGCTATAGTCTATCCTAATATCGTTACTATTATTTTTCATAGTTGTATGAAATTTATTTTAAAATATATATTCCTCGTGTTAAGGTTTTTTGAGACACACGGCACGATAGCAGTATTAAAAATAATGATCTCTTTTACAATGCATATTAATGAATATAAGAAAATAAATTATAAAGCAAAATGTAAAATACTTAAAAAAATAAATAGGTCACCATCTAACGATATCTATATGTAATTTTAACTCCATTATTTGAGGTTATCTGTATTTAGAAGTGACAAACTAGATGTTCCTGATCGTAATATTTACATTTTTACGAAAATAGTTGAGGCAATCGGCAGGTTTCTTTATTTTAAACGTAAATCTTAGGATTAGTATGATTTAGTTTGTTCCTTATAAATACAGACTAGTTTCTATATTACAGATCTGGTTGAAAAATACATTTTCATAAACACAAATTCTTAAAAAATATTTGAAAAAACATTTTTTTAATTTGATTTTTTTTTAAATAAACAGTGTATTTAAGCAGTTAAGTTTATTGCAATACATCTCAGATAATTCAAAGACAAGAAATAAAAGCTTTGCAACAATTAATTGTAGTCATTTTTGCGGAGGACATGCAGTTACTTTTACATAGTAGGATAAAACATCACACCTTATTTTTATACAACTCCAGATAAATTTCAAGTTTTTCCCAAATAAACCTCAAATTAATCAATATGAAAATGAAGTTTACCAAACGAAAAAGGTTTTCTAAAAGTGGAGTATCTTTAATATAGTTGGATGATGATAAAAAAAAAAAAATAATCGTGAATAATTTATAAGTCCTTTAAATGGTTTTAACTATGATGAACTCAATTCTATTTTAAAGTAAAATTTGTCTAGTTTATAGTGAACTAATTGTTAAATAGTTAAATTAAATATATTTTTAGTTTAATGCTTTTTATTCAACAAAAACAACGACACTTAAAAAACCACAAAACTTGGATTTCCTACTTTCATGCTGAAAGTTACGATGTTATTTATATGAACTTCTTTGTTGCCCTCCAGGTCTTACCACTTCTATAAAAATGTCTTTCTACTTACGGGACACCCTGTATAGTGAGTAAAATTGAATCGGTTTCAAAGGCATTGGATGTTATATTATGTTATGGAGGAATCTGATGCTATAAAAAAAAATTAATGTTTTAGAAGGACAATCACTGAATTATTCATGAGTAAGTTCAATAATTTAGTGGATAAAAATAAGAATAGACAAATTGATATATAAAGAAACATAAATTTTCCAGCAAGAGAAATAGGCATAAAGAAACGTGTATTATGAATTAATTAACAAAAATAGGACAAGAATCTAATTTAAAAAGTTTATAACTATTGAGCTCGTTAACATAACAACTTGACCTTAGACAAAAACAATGTGGTAAATATCTAAATACTTTTAACATCATATAAAAATGAAAAAACTTTTTGTCTTAAAAATAAACTATGTAAATTATACTAATAAAAATTGCGTAGACAACATCTCCTAAAATAATTAATACGATCAGCTCTGCTTATATAATATTTAAAAATTGTTTTTATGTATAACTTGAAATGTTAGCACACAATAATTAATATCTTATTAACAATATATATATATATATATATATATATATATAATGCACTTAATAAATTATAACTAATAAAAAAATTAAGAAATCTCGCAAACGCGCTGGCGGATCTACAGGGAAAGTTTCCACTTAAGCACGAAAAATGGAAGTTTTTTCTTTCATTTTCATTGGTTTAAAATAGTTTGTGAGTATGATATCAATAATTAAATCAACACAAGATATTTTTTTTTTTTAAGATATGATACCTATCCGCTTACCAAATGTAAGCACTTGTCTATAAAATGTTTTTCCATTGAAATCAATTGTAATGTATGTAATTACCTTCTTTTTTTTAACCATTCTTCAAGTATCAC